CAGAAGCCCAGAACAAATTAGTTGTCAGCTGACTACCGACTTTTCCACCGAATCATCGAGTGGAATTCATTACTACAGTACGTTCAAATGGTTCAAATGGTTGTGGACGGAATAGAAGAAGCTTTCGCTTAACAGGCTTCCGTGTCTAGTAGCAGGGGATCACCAAATCCTCCAGGCAGGAACCTAGGTATGTTAACAATAAAAGAGGAAAAGAAATTGGTAAATCATAGTGTGATGCTGTCCTTGGTCCTTAAGAATAGGTCAAGTTGCCTCTTGAAGGACTCCTGAGAAGTCGCTTGGACTAGCTCGGCCGGCAGCGAATTCCAGCTTTTGACAACTCTTAAGGAGTAGAAGTTGTGTCTACATTCCGTCTTGCTATGTTGTGTTTCCAGTTTCTGGGTGTTACCCCTTAGGTTATTATTCGAACTAAGCTTAAGTAGGTGTTTAAGAGGATGTCCAGAAGTGTTAAGAATACTATAAGCCATTAGTAAATCACCTCTAAGACGCCTATATTCTAGTGGGTAAAGGTCTAGTGAACGGAGGCGTTCTTCGTAAGGCTTAGATTTGAGTCCTCGAACTGATTTCGTGGCTCGCCGTTGGATACGCTCCAAAGTGACCTTGTCCTTTTGGAGTGAGGGGGGAGTACTATGTTTCCGTACTCTAAATGGGGACGGATGAAACTATTGAAGATTGTGTGGAAAGTTCTTCCGTCAAACTGTCCAAAAATGCGCCTCAACGTTACCAGTGCAAGGTTTGCTCGGAAGGCATTTTTGTCACAGTTAGCGTAAGACTTTAAATCATGGGGCACCAGGACTCCTAAATCTTTTTCGACTTGGGATACTACTAGAGAGGAGTTTCCTAAGTTGTAACTGTAGTTTGCGACATGTCGCAGATGGACTACTTTACACTTTGAAGTGTTAAAGGTAAGTCCGTTATCGTCTGCCCAACTTTGAAGTCGAGTCAGATCCTCCTGAAGTGCCTGTATATCGTCTTGGTTGCGTATCTCTCTCCAAAGTTTCACGTCGTCGGCAAAAAGTAATAAGTCTGACGTTACCTGTTGAGGAAGATCATTTATGTAGATCAAGAAGAGAAGAGGCCCTAGTACTGAGCCCTGGGGGACCCCACTAGGACATTCCATAGCCTGAGATAAAGTGAAATTAACCCTAACCTTAAAGTGTCGATTTTTTAGGTATGAAGTAAGCCAATCGATTAGAGGTGGTTTGATACCTAGTCGTTTGAGCTTGTTGATAAGACACAAGTGGTTAACCTTATCAAAAGCTTTTGAGAAATCAAGGTAAATGATATCAACCTTTCCCTTGCGATCGAGGATGCTTGTCCATCTGTCCACCGCAGTCAGCAGGTTGGTTATACAAGAGTAACCCTTCCTGAAACCATGCTGTTGGGGTGAGAAGAAATTTAAGGACAGTAGATAGTCATTTAAACCGTCGCATATCAGGGACTCCATGAGTTTTGAAGGTAATGACAGAAGAGCCACCGGCCGATAACTTGAAGGTTCATTGCGTCGACCACCTTTGAAAATTGGTGTGATGTGAGCCAACTTCCAATTTTCCGGTAATTTGCCTCGGCTAAGCGAGTGTGAAAACATCACGCTAAGCGGCGTTGCCAGGATTGAGGCTGCCTCCCTCAGTATGGCAGGATGAACCATATCCGGGCCAGGAGAAGTGTCTAGTCTTAAGTGCTGCAATTTCCGGAACACCAAGTCAGCGCTTAGGTCCACTTCAGAAAGTCCTGTGGAATTGCAGATGAAACTGTCGTCAGTAAAGTTGATGTCAGCCGGTTGAAATGTTTGAGAGTAATGTGCCGCCAGAAGGTTAGCGGCGTCGCCATCGTTGTTGGTCGGGCCGTTAAGACCTAGCAGTTGAGAAACTCCTGTTTTGGCTTGACGAAGAGAGGCTGCATAACGGAATAGGCTTCTAGGGTTAGAGGCGAATTTGTCCATAAGCTTTGTTTGGTACTGAAGCCTGTCTTCTCTTATAGCCTTCGTGCATATGTTCCTGATATGTTTATATTGCCTATACGCTCCATCGTTATTAGTTCGTTTGTATTCCGCCCAACAGTGCCTTTTGCGGCTTAGCAGGCGAAGGGTACGGTTCTTGATTACTGTAGGTGGCTTGCAGCTTTTGGGAACCGTTTGAGGAACTGAATGGTTTGTAGCACATAAGAGCGTGTGCAGTAAGAAGTCCCAATGACCATCCACATCGAGTTGAGGGTGAACATCCCAAACCACCTGTTGTAGATAGTCATGTAGAGCTGGCACATTCAGCCGTTTAAAATTCCAACGCAAATTATTGTTGGGATACCTTAGCTTAGTTTTGATGACAAAACTGAAGGCTATGACGGCATGATCGCTTTTTCCCAGAGGAGCCAGGATTGAGAGGTTGTCGACTAGGAATTCTTCGTTAGTGAATACACAGTCTAAGCGCGATGGTGTCTGACTGTTTCTCCAACGAGTTGCCGACCTCACATTTTCATATAAGCCCAAGTCATCGATGAGGTTGAAGAACCGAGCTTCAATTGAGTTGTCGCCTCCAGTGTACGTGTGTTCCGCGAAGTTGACTCTAGGGAGATTAAAGTCCCCTAGAATCAGGATGTGTGTGAAACCGAGACGGATAGAGCGGGATAGTCCTTCCAGCATACGACTATCGTACTCGATGTCGGCAGTTGGCTTCCTGTAAATGACTCCGACTAGACACCTCGAAGTACTAGACAATCTTACAGAGCACCATATGGATTCCTCAAGATTGTTAAACTCGAGGTTGTGAACTTGGTGCACCTCCAAGCAAGAGCTTATGTATATGGCTACTCCGCCCCCAATTCCTGTTTTTCTGTCGTTGCGGAACAAAGTCATCCCAGGTAATGCTAACTCTTGGTCCGAGAACTGAGAAGATATCCAGGTTTCAGATATTCCTATCAGATGGGCCTTATTAGCGTTGCTAAGTTCACGTAGTTCATCCAGTTTGTTTGGTAGACTCGCGGCGTTCATATATAAGCAGTTTATGCTTTCAATTTGGAACGCGTGAGCTTCGTCCTGTTTTTCTGTATGAACCTTATGTGAATGGACAGGTAGCCCACCTATATGAGGTTTGCCGAGGTGGTAGGCCCTGTCCTTTACACTTTTTTTCGTTTAGACAGTCCACAAGTGGAATGGTCAGCTCCAACTTGCCTTTGTGTTTGGTCCTAGCTTCGTATGGCCTATCCGGGTGCATGTGGATTCCAGGTGGCAATCGACGTCTATTGGCACGAAATGCTTCCAGAACTGCAGCCGCCATGTGGGAAGATGGGAAGGTTATCTTCATTAGACCGGGTCTAGGATCACCGTCCTTCTTGGCTAGTCTCGTCACATGCTGAGTCAGTATGTGTTTGAGCCTCAAGGACTGTTTGATGAATTTCCATTCCCTGATGTCAGAATTTGATTGAGTAGGGTCTGCATTTTCCGGTATACCTTGCACAATTATGTTTCTTCCGCGGAAAAACTTCTCGCGAGATTCTTTAGGGACGTTTCGTATGATATTGCGCTCAGAGTACGGTATGTCGGGCAATATTCTTACGTTACCATCTGATTTCAGCAAGTGACTTGCTAGCAAGACGTCCTCTACGTCGGTAGCATTCTTAAGTGTTACTCGGAGAAGCCTCGGGTGATTTAGATGCTTAGAATCCTTTCCTCGAGTGAGCCGGGTGACCGTCAAAGGCTCTATTCTAGGAAGTTCGAGCTTCTTGTTCAATTCACCCCAGAGCATCCTGTCGTTTTTGTCCTGCAGACTGAGAGGAAGGTCAGGATTGTCAACGAGGTTCATGATAATGAGAGAATCGTCACGAACTGTTGTTAATTTACCAGGTTTCACGATGGGTTCAGGTTTAATAACTTGTTGTTTGGAGGTCGTTGCGCGTTTCTGAGTCTTGGGGGTAGACTGTGCGACCAAATCACCAGTTATTTTCCGTACAGCAACACTTGGGTTGCTCGGCTTAGGCGGTGATGCCTGGTTCTTATGGGCTCTCTTAACGTGGGTCGAATCACCTACAGGGTTTTTGGGAACCACTGTTGTGTTCAGGGACCCTGAGCTGGGAGACCCGAGTTTGCTTAGGGAGTCTAGTACCGTCGACGTAATGATGGTGCTGAGCCTCGACACGTCATCATTAGTGTTGATGGATGCTCCATCGATGGTATACCTGTCGACATCCCTATTTTTGTATCCGTCGCACGCTCTTGTTTGTCTATCGGTTTTTTTACTATCGTTATCCAAGTTAACTGACAACTTGTTCCGAAGACCTGTCAGTAGGACAATGATGTTACTCAGCAAGACTACAGCGTCCGTGCTGCACGTGACACATACCCACTTTTGGTCTGACTTGCTGAGTCTGTTGTAAGCAGTTGCTGTCAGATCTGTGCATGCTTCGTGGAACCAACCTTTGCAGTTGTCGCACTGCATGCCAGTTGTAACAGCAAAACGGCATCCCGGACGTTTGCATGAGTTTTTCATGACTATGTTGAAGCAAACTATGTTATAGATGCTTGCAAGAGCCTAAGACCTTTAAAAAACACTAAAAAGCACACTGAAAACGGATAAAAATGGATAAAACGAGTGATATAAACTGAAACTAGTCTATACGTGAAAAACAAAAAAACCGAATAGTAAGCTGAGGCAAAACCACAGGTAACTATTAAATATGGTGAAACTAAAAAAAAAGTAATCTACCGAACGTATAGCTCAGGATAGATTCTTTAGAACTGAAATGGTACTTTTGTTGCGTAAGAACACAGCAAAAGTTTGATAAATGCAAATCACGTTAGGACTAAACTTCCCGTTCGAAAAGAGCGCTTAATGTGGTTGAGGCTCCATCCGTTGACTCTCAAAAGAAAGTTGGACCAAATGAGCGACCACTGTTGCCAGGACTAACACAGGCCATCAAGCCTCCTGTCCTTTCAAAACTGAAACTGAGGACAGAGACATTGGATTTTGGAACGAATTTCTAGGTCACATCTGGGAGCACTTGTCAAACTTGCCCTTGAGGTCAGTCATTCCATATTGTTGGGACGCCTTAACTTTATTCGAAAAGACTGATTTTCAGAATGCTCTTTTCGGAAATAGAGGAGAATGTCTCTTAGGTGCACATATAAACGTGAATGATGGACGTATTGCGATCAATTTGATTTAGGTTAGGAAATGAAATAAGGGTTTTCTTCAAGAACAGACATCAACTACTATCCTAAAACCCCACTTAAACATATAAGTGGTCAAACTCCGCGTCAAGATTTTAGGCATGTTACCTCTACTTCCATTGGTTCATCCACAAATTATAGTCTGCTTTATTACAGACACTTATGTATCGTTATATATTTGACCTTTTAATCTTTTGCTTTTCATAGTTACCCGCTTCATGATGATTCAATCCATATCGATTTCTGCTGTGCTTTCGTACTAACATTTAGAATAAAGTCTTATCCAAGCAAGTCCCATTTTTGCCCTTTTAACTGAATCATTTATTTTTTTCAACACGTTAACATTAGTACAAGATAGCACTAAATAGATATGCGCCACATTATTCATTCGATTTATTTGAGGGCTGGGGTACTGTCCGGATGCTCAAACCGAAGCAGGTGTTTTTCTTAGGGGCCCACACCCCGAGTCTTTAACCCAAAAGTCCAGTCCACAAGGCAGTGGAGCAACGTAAAGAGATGCAGTCGCAGGCTAAACGGTGACCGATAGTTGGTTCATACACCATTTGTTTCGTCAGGATACCGGAGCCCATGTGCACTAATGGTTTGGAATCAGGTTTTTCCAACTCCCCTAGGTGGACTGTCCGTGTCTACCAACCCCAACCTGGTTAAAGCACCGGACATTCGCTTTTCGTTCTCTCAATTTCATAAACAATACTCCCGCCACGAGAAGGCAGTGAGTAGGACTTTCCTGGCAGTGACTATATACGCGTGACCACGTGAGGGAGAGCGGACCCTCCCCACTCTCGGCCGTACCAGGGCATTTGGGGGCACATGCTTCGTAGATTGTTCGAAACCCGAGAAAGATTGACTCGCGAGGAGCAAGTTGGTTTTCGTTCTGGTTGAGGATGCACTGATCATATATTCACCCTCTGCCAAATATTAGAACATCGTCATACTTCTCACGGGCCAGAAATCATAGTGTTTCTTGACATTAGGGCCGCCTTCGATTCGTTGGACAGGACTGTTCTCTGGGATTGTCTGTTGAAGAAAAGCGTGTCTGTAAAGTTTATTAACATCTTGAAAGTCTTTTATACAAACAGTTCAGGCGGAGTAAAGCATCCAACCACCTTTCTCCATTGTTCCATTTAAGTAGTGGGGTTAGACAAGATTGCCCAATCTCACCATTCCTCTTCAACTTCGCCATCGATGACGTTCTGATGGATGCAAGTAATGGTGGTGTAGATCTGTTGCCTGGAGAAAGACTTCCCTACCTTGAGTATGCGGATGCTATCGTGTTGCTATGAGATGATACCCAAGCCATGTAATCCGCACTTAATCAGTTGGCAATCAGTGTCCGTAGGTATGGTATGTGCTTTGCACCTTCGAAGTGCAAAGTACTCCTACAAGACTGGCAGGATTCCAATCCTGTACTCACCCTGGATGGTGAGCAAATAGAAGTAGTCGAGAAGTTCGTGTATCTAGGTAGCTGTATAAGTGCTGGTGGGGGTGTGAGTGATGAGGTCAATGCACGAATAGTGAAAACCAGAGCGGCTTATGCCAATCTGGACCACCTTTGGCGCCTTCGTGGTGTTAGTCTGGCTGTTAACGGTCGGGTCTACAACGCGTCGGTGAGAGCAGTTTTGCTCTATGCTTGTGAAACCTGGTCTCTCCGAGTTGAGGATGTTAGGCGTCTTTCTAGTAAACCATAAATGTCTCCAAAGGATTGATGTCGTTCAGTGGCAACTCGTGTTAGTAATGCAGAGATGTGGCAACGTTTGTCAGGACGTGGTGACGATAACTTAACTGGTGTAATCATCTTGAAACACCGACTTCAGTGGCTTAGACATGTACTACGAATGTCATCTTAGAGAATTCCACGTCGTGCATTATTTGCCGACGTTAGGATCGGTTGGGAAGAGCGGAGAGGTGGTCAGTGTGTAGTTACTGATCCTATGTCAGGCCCATATGTGTTGTTCCAGTTTATGGACTGACCAATCTATTCATTCCTCTTGGACCACATCTTGACCTTATCACTTACTGGCTTATTAACCTCGACTGCTTTTATGTAAGTGTATATATGTGCATTACTTATCCTACTCATCACAAGTCTGTAACTTATCTTGTCTGACCATAAACATCAATTCACGCTTGGTTAAATCGAGTTGGCTCACTAGTCTTCTCCATTGCGCGTCATTTTATTTTGCTTCGCTTTCCGATCAACAATTGTACGAAATATGCGTACTTAAATCTCATTCTCGTATTTGACTTATTTAATTTCATTCAATAACGCGATTCAATTCGGTTAAATATACAAGAATAGCTGACATATGTAATTAAATAATGATCATAATATGATTTAAATGGTGTCTAGTTATGAAAGTAAGCTGTAGAAAACTGGCTTCTGTTGATTATTCACGACTCCCTGGTTGGGGCCATAGAAATGGTGCAACACAGTGGCTAAAGGAGTTATGAGACATGGCTCAGAATTGAAGCCGGTGGAGATCCTACTGTGACTTTCTTTTACTCTCCGCATAAAAGTAAATGTAACTTTAACTAAAAGAATTCTTTCTGGTTGTACTTTTACTAGCTGAACTGTTTCTCCCATTATTACGACTTATTTATCTATTATTGTTATTACCTCACTCCCATATACTGATTTCTGTTTATTTTTGTTCTTTTATTATACTCACTCTACATTCTCGATCTCTTCACAACCTCACTGCCATTGTGTGGCGTATATGTATTTGGTGCCTCCTTGTACCAATGTTTATGTGCTCAAATAATACATATCTCAACCATTTCAGTTGGTAAGGATTTGCTATCCCATAAATCGATTCTCCATCTTTACCTCGTATTCTGTTTCTAACCCATACACTGCTTACTTGATGGTCCTAAAATACACTAGCTATGCTTTATTATTTTTACACCATATTCTCTACATCCAGTTTTCATCACTTGTTCCGTTTATATAAGTGTGATAATTTGAGTAAATTTGTTTTGTACCCGGTTCTACATTTAAGTTTTTGATAGAAGCTGAGACTATAATCAGACATCTGTGTGCTTAGTGATTAAAGTTTTGATTCAAGCTCTCAGCTAGACAGCGCACAGTAGACTAAAACTCAGTTGAAAAGTAGACTTTGTTCCCGTAAGTTCGTTCATCGTATACACTTTTAAGCTTGCAAATACTAGACATTGAGTTATTGGACACTTGTAAAGCGAACTGTACCCATGTACTACATCAACTACGTAAAACTAAGTGATTTGCTACAATTTTTTCTTCAGAACGAGTTTGAAAACATGGAACATATATACTGTGGAGATAGGCATGACAAACTTATATTGTGAATAGTTTTTGATATTATTTGCATTTATTTTGTTAATTTTCACAGTCTGTACATTTACCACAAAATGACTGTACATGTTGTTTAAGTGTATGACCTTGAACACACACTTCCGTTCTGTATTACTCATATCATGACACACGCTGTTAACTGCTAGTAAATACACTACTATACAGACGCCTCCCGTTCTCTATTACCTGTGGTTATGATAACTGAACTCTAAGTCATCTACTATCTACATTTGGCTATATTACTGGAACCATAACAATCCCATTGGAATTATTAATTATCTATAATTGTGGACTCTGATACCAAATACAACTCGAACACGCCCAAGTTTACTGATTCAAGTAACGTCCCTAAATTTTTATTTGTGTTTATAACTTATAACTGATATATTATAACATTACCGTTTATACGTAATAACTTCATTACTATTTTTGAGTTGATATATTTTTTGGTCCACCACAATTATCTGGTGAGCCTTGAGTTATTCTAATTGTTATATTGCTTATTTTTACCTTATACGTTGATTTATTTTTCAAACAGTGTACTCTCGTCGTGCCTTTGCACCATATTTTTTATGGCAACAACAAATTCCGCTGGTCCGGTTAGGTGACTTAGGACGCTGTTTGGAAAACGATCTCTTTCTGGATGAGGATCTGGGTTGTCGGGAGTGGATCGTGAAAATGGTGGCTTGTAGTGATGCCACCTGTATCCTTTTTACCGACAGTTTGTACTGAGTTAACACCATGGCTGTCTTGGTAGATTTCCGTCATCTTGTCAGCCATATCTGCTAAATCATTTAGGCTAACGGAGTTTCCTGACACACTGAGAATTTATCTTACATTATGTGGTAGACGTTGAAACCAAATTTGTTTTAGCAGGGCTTCGTCTAGCTTATATGCACCCGCTAGCTATTTCATGTGTCTTAACAGCTGTGATGGTCTGTTGTCTCCAAATTCACATGTAGATAACAGCTGTTGTAATCTTTTTTCATTTGAGACTGACGTGCGTTGAATAACCGCGGCTTTCATTTTGTCATAAGGGTCGCTCTATAGTACTTGGTCGATTAAATCCTCAACTTCGGCTGCAATTTCTATGGGGAGTGCTCCAACTACATAACGATATTTTGTTGCCTGGGAGCGCATTCCTCTGGCCATGAATAACGCCTCTACTTGGGCGAACCAGACCCCCGGGTTGTTAGTTCCATATACTGGGAGTCTGAATTCCGAAACAGTATTAACTGAATTTAAAATAGTGTCAGCAGAACTTGGTAAAAAACTGAGGGCATCTACTGGGAGACCGTCCATATCGATAAGTTTGTTGGGAGAGTATATTATTTGAAAAATAAATCAACGTATAAGGTAAAAATAAGCAATATAACAATTAGAATAACTCAAGGCTCACCAGATAATTGTGGTGGACCAAAAAATATATCAACTCAAAAATAGTAATGAAGTTATTACGTATAAACGGTAATGTTATAATATATCAGTTATAAGTTATAAACACAAATAAAAATTTAGGGACGTTACTTGAATCAGTAAACTTGGGCGTGTTCGAGTTGTATTTGGTATCAGAGTCCACAATTATAGATAATTAATAATTCCAATGGGATTGTTATGGTTCCAGTAATATAGCCAAATGTAGATAGTAGATGACTTAGAGTTCAGTTATCATAACCACAGGTAATAGAGAACGGGAGGCGTCTGTATAGTAGTGTATTTACTAGCAGTTAACAGCGTGTGTCATGATATGAGTAATACAGAACGGAAGTGTGTGTTCAAGGTCATACACTTAAACAACATGTACAGTCATTTTGTGGTAAATGTACAGACTGTGAAAATTAACAAAATAAATGCAAATAATATCAAAACTATTTACAAAATAAGTTTGTCATGTCTATCTCCACCATACTACTTTAGCTACAAAAGTTAACTATAAAGACTTGCTGCTCAACGCAGCGTTTGAAAATTGAAAGCCACAATATGTAGTTACAAGTGGTATTTTGTAAGCTGAAAATCTGAGAGTGACTACTTCAACAGCAAAAAAGATTAAAGCATGAAGAGAGTCAACGAAGTACAGGATAATTTATTACTCTATTAAAATGTGTGGAAAATCGATAAATCCCAGTTACCCCTAAAGTTCCTGGGTTAACATTTTAAAATATTTAAAAAAAGAAATAGGTGACTCACAAATTGATATCATAAGTGAATTTTATTTATAATAAATACACGTAGCTTTTTTGAATATAATCCCGGCTGAAAGGTTTCGTTTGTTTCTTAAGTAACATTACTGGTGGCAAGAGAAATTCCACAAGTTAAACTTTTAAAGTCAACCTATACGTTTAGTGTATTTGAGGATTTTAGTCACTAGAACAGAATGCCCTACTATCTTCTTCGTTCTACCCGTTAAAGTAATTCATTCTTGACCTACATTACGATCCAAATTGCACCAAGAAATAAAAGTATGATTCCATCCAGGCATTCGTGACATATTGCCATATGCTAAGTTTACATTACTGTACACTTCCACCAATTACATACTGTGTTGAGATCAAGTAATATTCTTTGTAAATCATCTCTATATCCCCAAACGTCCTAGACCAATATTACAACAGCAAGAAACATCTCTGATAATATTTATTATTCTTTTGTTAATTATTTCCTATTACCTGGCTTTGATAAACTTATAACTGCCTAACAATTTTTCTAGATTATTGGACTGCCGCTAAATAATTGACAAATTTCAGGATGAATCAAATACTTTTTCGGAATTTATTTGGAATTCATTCTTTTAAAATATGTTTAACAAGAAGTCAACCACGAAAATTCTCTCTGCTCATCATAGTTTGTGTAGAACATATTCTCGTACAGTACCGGAAATCGATAATGATAAATTACCAGACGGACAAATCCGGTATTCAACGCACAAAAAATGGCATGCTGTAATGAATTATGTCCCAAAGCCGAAAGATATACCAGATTATCAATATCCAATTATACTTATGTGTGCTTTGATAGTTGGAATATATTTTGCCCTCATCCATACAAGATGTGATCTAGATGATATATTAGATGAGAACTTTAAAGAATTTGAGAAAATTAAATTCGACAAAAAATAGTTGTACAAAGAATCTAACGTTATCAGTCTCTGTAGTCCCATGTTTATTGTCATTTTTGAAAAATATGAATATCATCAATTTATTTCACCATTTTTAAAAATTTCACTGTATCATTTTTGTGCCACATTTGGTAGATAGCTGAAACTTTCTCAACCATATACCACATAATTGTGAACAGTCCGTTTTTTGAGTGAAGGAAGGTTAACTTTGGTGAAAAGAACTACCCGATATGATGATTGTGTGGTTGAGATTTCCACTAAAATTTAAACATTACTATCCTAAATACTGACGTAAATTAACGAGTTGCTTTCCCAACTATGGTGGTCGGGCCTGTCTATCGTGATAACCCAACCAAGGTATATTGTCTGGAATAGATGTTCCTTTAGGTCCTATCATCCCAGCCAGGTCTCTTGGAGAATGGTAAGACTGAAAGCAGCAACCTAAGGCCCGAAAGCGGAGTCGTACCGCTGACTGTGGTGGTGTGTGATATCAGTAAAGTGTTTCCACTGAACAAACAGCATCTGCAGCAATGCTGTCTTTTCACAACGGAAGGAAATCAAAATCAGTAAACTTCAGTGGCTTCTACAGAACTGATAGATGCTTGGAAACTCATTCCGTCTGGCTCTGAATACGGCAAGGGGTGGAGGCAGCTTAAACGTAGGTTGATGAGTAGAGAAAGCGGAGAAGATAGAAAAGGCAGCACCGGTAGGAAACAGTAGGCAACTGCTCAATGAAACGGGTATTACAAATCCGACTGTTAATAAAACTATCTCTGATAAAGACGAAACTACTATTTACTCTCAATCCAGGAGATTGAACCAAGGGGATAAACACTATAGAAAACGGTTCAACTGACCTTCAGCCACACTCATCCACTATCTCCAAGCAACCCGAATAAGAAATTGATGAAAGTGCTCCAACTCTGAGGTTGAAAAGGCTATAAAAGTAATCTAAAGCAGGGTAGAGCAGTAGTGCTGATGGACTAACTCCTGGATTCCTAAGGATGGGGGTCTAGATCTGGAAGTTAGATTAACTGAAACCTGGGAAATTGATGTAATCCCATCTGACTGGTCTAGATCGCTGACCATTCTAGTTTATAAGAAAGGACAGTAATCCTCTTGTGCCAATTACAGAGGAGTCGGTTTTACTAATATAGCGTCCGAAATATTAGCTTCAATAATACTTCGACATCTAACTAGAGCTTATGAAGAGCAAACCCAGAAAAACCAGGTTGGTATAGACTAAATATTCACCCTTTGGGAGACTGTGGAACGTAGGCCTACTTTTCGATGTCCGACTACAGTTGTATACCTTGACCTTAAGCTGGCGTCCGACTCCGTTGATCGTGAGGTCCTATGTCAGTATCTGTCATTGAAAAGCATACCAAAGAAATAAATCAACCTTGTACAGTCTCTATTCAAACACTACTGGTCGAGTTAGTGCTTATGGCGAACTGTTATCGTAATTCGTTACTTCAGATGTTCGTCGAGGTTGTCTGCTCTCCCCCTTTTTATTCAACTTTTTAATAGACAAGATCTTAGAGATAACACTTTTATCGTCCGAATCTTCAGGGATCGGTCTTCTGCCAGGAGATTCACTTGTTGGCTTATAATGCGCAGACAACATAGTTCTTTCTGAAGACACTGACAAAATGCAATCTTTTGATCACCTTGAGAAAAAATGCAAGTATGTTGCTGGGATATTTAGAAAAACATCCCAAAAATTATCCTGCTAAGTCTAACGCTATCCTTGAACGTGAAATGGTGTCATTTCCCTATTGGTCAATATTCACGGTAGTCCTAACTGTATAAATATGCATTTATCTGTAACGTATTATTCCTATTCTTCTCCTGGCCCCATAAACAATTTCATCTACGATTCGTGTTCTGATATATTGGAGATTGGGGTCGTACTGGGATATCTGAAGTTGGTCAGTCGGTAGAAATTAGAGTAGCCACCCGCGGTCCACAATATATGTCTGGGATGCTGTTCTTTCCGTCCAAATGTAAAATATTACTTCAGGATTGGCTTCTGTCATCGCCTAAATTAGTGATAAGGAGTCAAGTGGTTGAATGCACCGATCGCTCCATTTATTTTGGGAGTTTCATCAGTACTAATGGTTTGGCGTCTGAAGAAATCTCAGCTTGGATTCAGGAGGCTCGATTGGTTTTCGCGAACTTGCGTAGGCGAAGTGCGAGTTTAGTACTCAGCAGTTAGCTCCGTTTTACGTTGTGGATGTGAAACGACCTTAAGAGTAGAGGATATTCGTACGTTACTGGTATCCGATCATAAGTGCCTACGATGCATTGTTAGTGTATTTTGGGACCACCGAGTAGGCAATGTATGAGTTAGGAACAGAGTGCTGAGTAAAGATGGGGAGTCAGTCTTTGAGCTAGTAAATATTTATCAACTTCCCGTAGAAAACTAACTCGCTAAAAAAACACTGACCAGAAAAAATTATTGAAACCATTTAAACTCTGCCCTGGGAGTTGTAAGGTCTTCATTTATGACGTCTCGTTATGAAAGCTGAGTCCTTTCAGTAGTCACGAGGCTGGTGCCTCTTCTGACAACAAGCGCAACCATGAATTCAGGTCATGGAAAGTTCGTACAACGTGCGAGACCGGGAAAGTTATCCAAGTTGCTGTAGAAATGAAGATACAACCTGGAGGTGTTTGGAACCAGTGAAACATATTAGATGCAGGTTGAACAACAAAGACTAGCTTCAGGAGAGATGCTGTTATACTCCGGCCATGATAAAGAAAATGCTCCACATGTACAAGGAGTTCCACTGATGCTATCCATACAAGCACAAAAAGCACTTATAGGGTGGGAATCTCATGGACCAAAGATCATCAAAGCCTTCTTCAAAACAAAGAAAAAGGGCATTGCAATGAACATCGTCCAATGCTATGCACCTATCAACGACTACAATGAAGACGTTAAAGATCAATTCTACATAGGCTGCAGTCAATCCTCGGGAAATGCCCAACAAAGGACTTGGTCATTCTAATAAGAGACCTATATGCAAAGTTGGGAATGGACAACAACGGATATGAAGATATCATAGGACGACATTGACTGAGAGAAAAGAAAGAAAATAGTGAGAGATTTGCAAACCTATGTGCCTTCAACAAACTGGTCATAGGCGGCACCATATTCCCACAAACGCATACACAAAGCCACATGGATTTCACCGTGTCACAATACAAAAACAAACCGACCATACCTGTATCAACAAAAAGTTCAGGAAGACGTGAAAACCAAAGGAGGAGCTGATATAAACTCACTTGCTGGTCGCAAGATGAAACGGAAACTCAAGAAGCACTGAACAACGGGGCGGACGTCACAAAAGTTTAATACGGCTTTTCTTTGAGATGCTGACAAGCTCAACAAATTCAAGATAGCCCTCGGCAATAGGATCCATGCCTTTCACGATCTACTCAGTCGAGAGGGAACTACCATGGAGAACAACTAGAAGTGATCAAGGAGGTAATCACTTCAACATGTTATGAGGTTCTGGGCCGCAAGAAGCACCATCACAGGGAATGGGCCACTGTTGATATACTGGATTCAAGAAAGAAGGCAGCATTCAATACCAGCCGAACAAGAGTAGAAAAAGCCAAGGCACAAGCTGAATACACAGGAGTAAACAAGCAAGTGAAGAGGAGCATCAGAACCGACAAACGTAAAAATGTGGAAGATTTAGCAATGATGGCGGAAAAGTCTGCAAAAGTAGGAAACAATTGTATGACACAACAAAGAAACTCGCTGAAAATTATCGTAAACCAGGACGATCAGTGAAAAGCAGGGAAGGCAAAGTAATCACCAACACTGAAAAACAGCGAAACAGGTTGGTAGAACTCTTAAAAGAGCTTTTGAATCGATCAGCCCCACTGGACCCACCCAACATCGAAGTAGCACCCACGGACCTCCCAATCAATGTTGGCCCACCAACAATTGAAGAAATCAGCATGGCCATCAGACAAATCAAGAGCATCAAAGCAGCAGGACCAGACATTTCAGCAGAGGCACTGAAAGCAGATGTAGCAGTAACTGCAAAGATACTCCACATTCTCTTCAGCAAAATTTGGGAGGACGAACAATCACCAACAGACTGGAAAGAAGGACTTCTGGTCAAAATACCAAAGAAAGGCGATCTCAGCAACTGTGATAACTGCATCGGCATCACTCTTCTCTCAATACCAGGAAAAGTCCTCAACAGAGTATTGTTATACAGAATGAAGGACTCTGTAGACGTTCAACTTCGAGACCAACAGGCTGGATTCCGTAAGGATCGACCATGTACAGATCAAATCGCAACGCTACGGATCATTGTGGAACAATCAATTGAATGGAATTCATCACTTCACATCAACTTCATTGACGATGAGAAAGCATTTGATGGCATGGACAGGACAACATTATGAGAGCTTCTTCGACACTACGGTGTACCTGAGAAGATAGTCAATACCATACGGAATTCCTATGGTGAATTAAACTGCAAAATCGTTCATGGAGGACAGTTGACATTCTTTCGAGTTGAAGATCGGTGTCAGGCAAGGTCGCTTACTCTCACCCATTCTCTTTCAACTGATGATCGACTGGATCATGAAGACGTCAAAATCTGAGGGGAAGCATGGGATACAGTGGACAGCTAGAAAGCAGCTGGACGATCTAGACTTCGTAGATGATCTGGCCCTTCTATCGCAATCGCAACAACGAATGCAGGAGAAAACGACCAGTGTAGCAGCAGCAGTAGGTCTCAATATACACAAAAGGAAAAGCAAGATTCTCCGATACAACACAGTATGCACCAATCGAATCACAATTGACGAAGAAGATTTGTAAGATGTAAAAACCTTTACAAATCTCGGCACCATCATTGATGAACATGGTGGATCTGATGTAGATGTGGATGCGCGGATCGGCAAAGCAAGAGCAGCATATTTACAACTGAAGAACATCTGGAACTCAAAACAATTGTCAACCAACACCAAGGTCAGAATTTTCAATACAAAAGACAGTTCTACTGTATGGGGAGGAAAGCTGGAAAACTACGAAAGCCATCATTCAGAAGATACG